TACACTGAATAGTAATTCTTCCTTTACTTGTCTATAACCCATGATTTACTAAAAACAGAGTAAAGAAAAACGCTGTGGCCCAGTGCCAATCACATAGCTAGTATTCAATGTAGGCTTGTCACCTGAACAAATTTGTTCGGCAGTGTCATCTTATAGGGTACCTTCCAGCTATAACATCCTATAGCCCCATAAATTGCAACCTCAGAGATCCTGCAGTTTCTGAGAACTAAGAGATCCGAGACCTCCCACTACCCTGGGATTCACCTTTCCTCGTCTCTCATTCCCAACCTGAACATCAGCATTTAGCAGACTGTTGGAATCCATCAGAACTAATAGAAAGAATTGTCAAGATCGATTCTGAAATCAACTAGGGTCAACTTTAAACTAGGATGTGTTACCTGGAAATTGGATGAAATTCCATATAATAGAGGAAGAGGGGTGGAGTTGGGAGGACATGGGGAGAGTCAGATCCACATTCTAATACCAGTTCTGTCACTAATGAGGTGACTGGGCAAGTCATTTGGCCTCTTTGGACCTCAAGGTCATGCATGCCTAATTGAAGAGGTTGGACTAGATAATCTTTAAGGGTCCCTTTTGACTCTAAACTGTAAAATTTAGAATTCTGGTGTTTGGTCTTCCACTCATCATCTTCTAGGCCTGCGGTTCTCAACCTGTGGGTTGCGACCCCTTTGGGGGTCGAACGACCCTTTCACAGGGGTCAGCTAAGACCATCGGAAAACAAAAAGATATTTACATTACGATTCATAACAGTAGCAAAGTTACAGTTATAGAGTAGCAACGAAAATAATTTTATGGTTGGGGGTCACCACAACATGAGGAACTGTATTAAGGGGTCGCGGCATGAAGAAGGTTGAGAACCACTGTTCTAGGCCATTAATAGGTTTGTTTGTTTTTTATTAAGGAGACCACGTAAGTAAGGTATCATGGAAGTAGAAGGAACTGCTATGAATAATTATGCCAGGACAATGAGTGGACACACTGGGACCATCCCAGGTACACCAGGAGGGATGGTAACTTTTGTTTTAATTCAGTCTTTGTTAGCAGGGCTTCAGTTTTCATTTGTTACTTGTAGTTGCAGAGAAGGCTATTTAGAATTTGTGGTCAGGGCTCCGTTATGGGATTTTAAGGAGGCTTTATGCATGGGTGATCAGAGCAGCTAACATGCCTTACAATCACATAGGTTGCCCACACACACCCCTACCCAACCTACTCACTCCTCAAAAGGAAGCTTGAACCCAGAGTTAATACACCTCTCAGCCACATTCTAATGACTGCACCCTCTACCCCAGTGGTCTAAGGTCAGTGAAGAAAATACATTCATCCCCCTGGGCTCAAAATGTACAACTCTGTGCTATCATCATGAAAATTTGACCATAGAGAAAACAGATACCTCAATGAAATATCCATTATCCTCTAAACACTGGTCATTATCTCCACAATCGCTGTTGCCTTTCTTCTCACATGTATAAATATCCTTGATTAAAGGCACATTGGCTACACTAGTAAACTCTCCTACTCTATGGAAACCAGAACAAATGGGGGAAAAGCAGTACACCTGAGAAGTAGATTAGCGGAGAGAACTCCCCAATTCAATCACTCTCAGTTTTGAACTTGCTTTCCCCTGAGATCTGTAGGAACGAGGGGTTTATATGAACACCACACAATTCCCAAAGTCTTTGTCAGGTTCTCAGTCCCGTCTCTCCTTCTAACCTTTGGAATATTATTGACTCAAAAAGGCAATCCCAGATCAAAGCTAATAGTCATCATCGATTTGCCAGCCTTCTGAAGACTGTTGCCACCTCTTCAAGTCATTTACTATTTCCAGGCACATCTGGGGGACAGTCTTTAAAGGAGTATAAGAAGAGTCAACAGCTGAAATGTCAGGATTTTCCAGTAGAAAAGTTAAAAATAGCCTGCTACTGCCCAGGGCCAGAAGCTCAAGCTGACAATGTGGAATGGGTTGGGAGAAGGTAGTGACTAGATCTCTTGACCTTTAGTAATTCCCACAAGTGGCTGCTGAAAACCTCCTTGCTCCTCCACGTGGTATCACATGGGTTGACCAGAGTTGACCTGACAGATAGCTCTATAAAAATGCTGTGGCTGAGAGAGCACTAGAGCCTGAATGGCAGGGATGAGAGATCAGAGACAGGGCAATAAACTCAGAAGAGCTTAGGAGATCACGTAGCAGGTCCTGAGACCTGGTCATGGTTATTTCCCAGTGTTGCTATGGGTAGATGACCATTACTGTCATTACTTTGGGCGTCAGCACATTGAGATACACAAGGCAATCGAATGAAACTGGCTTTCCCAGGATAGAAATATTTTCCAGGAAAATGGAAAAAGTGAAAGGAACTAGGACATTGAGTAAAACAGGAAATGGTACTGGCCAAGAGACAGAGAGGCCAGAACCACCTTACCTCTTAATTTCGGTATGTTTTTTTCCTCAACTTCAGGCCTTTAAAATGTTTCATCAGTTGATCAACACCTGCTTTTATCAAACTCCTTAAATCTTTGCCTTATTGCAAGAGGTACCAGGAAAGTGCTTTTTTCTTCTGTTATTTGTTGTTCTTCAGTGCAGAATCTCATAGCATGGAGTAATCCCAAAGAACAGTGAACAACGAGCAGCATGCGAGCCAATATACCCATAAAGTGGCAAGGGCCCGGATTCTGGACCAGCTACCCAGAGGGTCAAGTATCCCTGTATCTGAGCTAGAGGAAGGCCTTTGTACAACTGCACCATAAATCACCTCCCAGAGCAGCCAGTGGGGAAAAGCAAAGGTTGCAAAGGGCTGCAGCGTAGCAAAACTTCCTTATTGAAAGAAAACTGGATTTGTCCCATATTTGATGTATGAAGTGTACCTCTCAGGAACCAGGGCTGTGGCTCCCACGGATGGTGAGCCATTGGGCATCATGATCAAAGGAGACCTTTCAGGGTTCACGGTGGCAGCAAGGCATGATGGAAAGAACAGAGCGTAGAAGTCAGATTGTTCTGTTGAACCTGATGATGACCTCTTGTTCTTTTCCACTGTAGGTTCTAGAATAAGATGAGCTTCACATCAAGTAAACATGGAATGTGGAGAAATATCTTCACAGGAGTCATAAATTCAAATTCTACGGGCAGGAATGTGAATGCGTGGGGCTGATCTACCAGAGACGAAAGAGGAAACCTAAGTTCATCTTAAGGGGGCAGCTTCCTCTCAGTGTCCATGGGTGTTTGCTATAAAGGAATGCCAGAATCAAAGACTACCCACTCAGGGCTCTACTGCAGTTCACTTGAATTGCACAGGTATGTCCCAACACAGGAAGGCCCCACTGAACATCTCAGTGGCATAGAATCAGCCGACAGTCAGCCAGTGTGTAACCGCTTGTCTCCATTGCCGGCTTCACTTTACCCAAAGCACGAATCACAACCCACTTTTTTGGTTCAAATAATTACACTTCATTATACAGGAAAGCTCTGTTGCACAATTGTGTGTGTGTGGGGGGGCGGGAGGGGGTATGAGTGCTATTGTAGAACTTGGTCCAAAGCCATTGCAGGGGCAATCCAGACCAGCATGCATCACCTTCATCCTACACTCTCCTGAAAGCCTGTCAAATCCGTAGATTTTTGACCACCAGCTTCTTCTGAATGACGCTTTTCCCGTGTCTTCGTCTCTCTTAATCCTACCTGTTTTCCCCAAAACCCTGCAACTCTTTTAGAGGATGCTCTCTCTCCCCCAGATCCCACCACCACAGCTTTAATAAGGTGTTCTCATGAGTGTCATTAAAAAGGGATCACCAAAGCCCAGTTGTCTGAGTTCCTCAGCTAAACTCTAGTTCCTTGTTTGAGAAACAAGAGACCTAAGCTGATTTCATTCAAGCAGATCTTGTGTTTTAATCTGGTCAGCATTAAATCATATACTTTGGGGGATAACAGAAACTCAGCATTGAAGGAAAGCTCTTTGTCCAAATCCTTGAGTGAGGCAGAAAACTATTCCCTGTGTACTGTTTATTCAGGGAGAATAGCTCAGATGTGGCCTCAGGTTGGCTCAGGAGTTGTGGCTTTGCCTAGGTTTGCAGCTGAAAACTAAAAAATATAAGTACCTCAAGCCATCTTCCCCAAGTCTCTGAGTGAGTGGTGGCGGCTTGACCGGGATGTAGGACCCAGAGCCCTCCTTGTGGCCAGCAGGGCTCCCTGACCACTAGACCACACAGTCAGTGCTTAACGTGCACTCAGCAAACCTCAAGCTCTATGCCTAAGAAACAGATTTTCCAAAAACAGAGCTCTCTTTGTGAACAATTCAGCAAAAATTCTCTTTCCAGCTGGGAGTGGGGATTCATGTTGCAAGTGCTGGTGTTAATTAAAAACATCCACCTTCTACAGTTTCAACAAGAGAAAAGCACCACGTAGGATGGGTTCCTAAGTACTCCTCCCCAGAGCACTTATAAATATGATTTTATTTATGACATAGGTTTGCTGGGGGTTCTCACAAAAGACTATCATTCTTAGTTTTCAGTCCCAATGAAAGAAGTGGAGCCAAGGAGATGGATGTAATGGGTACAAATTGGCACAGAGAAAATTAGTATCAGAAGAAACATGAATACTGTTCCTGTCCAGAGCATTGGGAAAGATGTCCAACTTTCTCTGTTAATATCAGGAAACTTACCTACTTGAAATTAGATGTTTACCTGCTACGTCACTGATTTTTTTTTTCATGTGGCTCTTAGTCCTTCAGACAAGAAGAAAATGAGGTGTGATAAGGCAAGGGACATTCCACAAAGGATGACACCACATACTCAGTAGTCGGGGTGTGACATCATGCTTTCTCATATTCTTATTGTAGTTCTCAATTTATTGGGAAATCTTTATCTGAAGGGGTCCAGAGCTAGTGAGATCAGCAAGACGGAGTTACAATCCTTCCTGTGCTTGTCTGGTTGGTGAAGTTTTCCCACTTTCACACATGAACCACACAGGAAAAAATGGAGCCAAACCCACACCATTATGAATGAATTTCTTTGTTTTTAATTTCACACGGTTTAAAATACAATATGAAATCAGGCTACAGTATATAAAAAACTCTCCAGCAAAATGATGTGCCAGCATCAGCTACTAAAATAAACAAACAACAACTCCTGCATAAGAAATTTTTTTTTTGCATTTAAAAAAAAAACACATAGACATCTACATCGCTACATCTCTAAGCTACCTCAGTTCTGATTTTTAAAAAGCACCTGCTTTTCCTTTTTTTTTTTCATCTTGCTTTTAGATTTTCAGCTTTTTAAAAAATATAAATTATATGAAAATACAAGTTGGAAAATAGTCAAACACAATATAATATCTTTTTAACCACTATATTTCTCAGCTTAAAAAAAAGTATTCTTAAAAAAGTTCAATAACTGAGGCAGTATTCCTGATAGAGATAATTTCATTTTAATATATATATTTTATATATGTATATGTATACATATATTTACGGTTCCTTGAAAGTTCTTTGGAATGTAGATAAGAGTTCAACACATTTATATAGACCCCAACAGAGAAAGCAGCATGCACAGCATGACTAGAAAAGAGAAGGTGTCATTTCCACCATGAAGATTAGGCAGGTTAATGCTCTAAAACCCAGAGTGTTCATCTCCAAAGTGAGGAAAAGCACATCTGATCTTGGAATGCTACCTCCAATCCCCATCACCACAAAACCAAGGCTCTGTGTAGGGAAGTCCCCAACCCCTGAATGGAGAAAGGAACCAAAGTGACTCTGAACCCTACAGCCAAAACTGATGTGGGTTAAGGCATCTCCAGGAAAATAAGGGTTTCCCCCAGCTAAACCAGATTTGCCCATCCTTCCTCTGAAGCTAACATGTGTTTTTAAAAAGTATAAATGCAACAATTCTGCTACATTTCCAGTGTATAAACCACCCACCATTCTTCCCGGGATGGTCTCTGGCCGTTGGACAGGATAAAAAGCATCTGGCCAGATCAACAAAGCTGTCTTATCTAATAAACTATCTATAAATACTGAAAACGATGGACCTAGAGAAAAAAGCATCTGAGCGAACAAGCGGGTTGAGGAGCACGATGATGCACTTTCTTATATCTTATCTGCTACAGAATTATTGCAGGAGTTAGACACACTCACACAAGAGGAGTTTTCAGAAAGCTGGATGAGTTGAGAAAGTGATCTTATGCCTGGTTGCAAACAGCAAGCCATGACTGATGCCCAGCCTTGGTTCTAGTCTCGCTCATTAGGGAAATGTGAAAAGACTTACCTAGATAACCCAGGTATTATCTCAGCTGCAGTTTTGCATGTCTGCAAATACACACACACACACACACACACACACACACACACACACACCTTTGCCAGTGCCCAACAAAGATCACATAATCTAAGAAAAAACAATGTAGTCCAACAGTTCCGCCTAACACTCCCTGAGCAGTTCCTAAAATATTTCGAGAGCTTCATTAAGGCACCTGCATTTGGAAGAAGATCAAAATACACAACTGGGCTAATTCTGCCTTTGCTTTCCAAGTGGACTCTCCGATTTATCAGTATGAGGAAACTCATGAATCACAGAGCTAAGTTCCTGATAATTAGGGTCTACAACAAAAGGACCTGGGAGTGAACAATCCACTTTCTTGAAGATATGCTATACAGAAGGTTGTTAGTACTTTCCGTTTCTCAGCTAGAGCCCAAGAAAGGCTAGCCCTGAGAAGCCCATCTGAAATGTTTCTTCACCTCTCTCACTGAAGTCTGTAAAGCCGTCCCACTGTTGTTGTCTTTTGTTAACTGGGGATCTATAGAGTAGGGGGATTTTGACTGGAACTTTTCCTCACAAGTTAGGTGTTGGTTCCCCCAACCCAAACCTCCATTTTTAGATTACCCTGCACGACTTCATCGTGGACTAAGTTTGCAGTTAAACTATAGGGGAACTAAAAATATATTCAAATCTCATGGACCACCCTAGTTTCTTCATTCAAGCTCCTTGTCTTACGTTTTTCCTTTGCCTTCAAGTCATTCCTCTCTTCTGCAATTACTAGCCTTCATTCACTTGTGCCACGATAATAGACCCAAGCACAAGGTCCTAATAGCGGCTATACTATTCACTTTGCATGCACAGTCTCTCACCTCACATCCGACTCAACTAGCAGTTCTTCAAAGGAAAGCCTTGCAATTCTCCTCCCAAAGTCAGCCAAGTCACGTTGTATTTGTATGCTCCCTTAATTTCCATTGCTCCTAAAACCCAGTGAGTCTAAATGGCTTTATCAGACACTTTTCAACTCATGTCATGTCTGCAGTTACTCTTGCCCTCACCAATCAGAAAGCTGTACATGTCTCTACTGAATAACAGGGAAGGGGAGAAGCAAAAACTGTGGGCTGCTAGGAAATAAGACACAAAGGAGAAAGTGTAGAGTGTTAGTCAGGGACAACATGCATTCAGGACTTATATCTTAAGACCTGAGGGATAATGCCCATGCACACAGCATTTATTCCAAGTCCTATGTTATAGGTATAGAACCAGGAAAGAACCAAGTCAATTTTCCTGCTTTGATCTTCTTTCCATGACTTCACCAGTGCTCCTACATTTGCTGTGGTCCAAAACCAGGGCTGCAAAATACATTCAGTTCAAAGACTTAACGCTTCTTAGCTCAACATTAAGTCTAAACCCCAAGAATCCACAAATAAGTAGAGGGGTGTGATGATAAGTTTTTTAAATCATAGATGAAATTTACACACACAGTTCCCTTGTGCCCGAATCAGCATTATTTTTTCCTTCATATATAAGCCACATGAATTTGGGATTCCCCCATCTCAGTGACAGCACTTTGCATTTCCAGTGGGGTCTATATAAACTGTTTTCTTTCACTATGACAGAATCCTCAGCCGGCAAATAAAAACAAACTTGCATGATACTGCAATACTGAGACCACCTTAGAGCTTAAGACGATTTTTAAGAAAAAAAAATACTGGCACAAAATTTAATAAAATAAATTTTAACACAGAAACAGTTTTGGCCCCTCCCCACTGAAGTCCATCTTTGTTTTGAAAGTAGAGTAAAAGGTAAATTTTTTTACCGCCCCCCCCCCAAATGTTCTTCCCCATTTCCCTCTTTTTTGGCCTCCCAGACCTAAAACGGAAGCAAATGAATTGCCTTTCATCAGTCACATGACTCCTGATGTCTCAATTTCATTTGCTAATAGGTCCGTCACTCGAGACACAATTTTTCCTTGGATGGTTTTAAAAAACGACTGGACACTTGAGTCTCTTCCTCATTTAAGTCAGATTCTTCAAGCTTCTAAGAGGACCCTTCTCTCTGTCCTGAATATTTGCTCAAGAATTTCTTGTCCCACCCACCCCAACATTCTGGGCTATTTCCAACAACATACAATTGATTATAGCTGCAGCTTACTTAGCTCCCACCCCTGAATGTAAAAAATGAGTTCTGAAAAATTAAAAATAGAATAACAGTTAAAAATTAAGAGTCCAACCGACGTGGTTGTTCTTTGAAATGTTTCAGCAGAGTTTCCCTAGCCCCTTTGGTGTCCATCACTCATCAGCATCGGGCTTGACGTCCAGCATGGCATGGAGTTCCTCAGGCGTGTATCCCAGGAGGCTCTGCAGGTCACACACGAAGCGGTACACATAGCGTTTACCCGCTGTCTTGTGGATGATGTTTTTGTCATAATAGTAGCGAAGGCCGCGGCTCAGTTTCTCATAATTCATCTTAGGTTTGTTTTTCCTTTTTCCCCATCTCCTGGCCACCTGAAATTAAAAAAAGAAAAAAAGAAAAAAGAAAGGGGTAAAAATCTATAAAATAATCCAAATATACATGCTTATATGCCTATAACCATTCATGGTGACCCATGATGTTTAAGACAGAGACTCATGTATATAGAAGATGCTTTTCTGACCTATCTCTTCTGAATTCCCATCTTCAAAGGTTGGCAAAGATGGCAGTGAAGTTGATTCTTTAAGTTGATAAAAACACAGTGACCCTGAAACTTCTACATAGTGTAAAGTATCTGATATAGAAAAAAAAGAAAAGTGACACTACAGACTCTCCTTTCTCTTTATATTATAAGAGAATGTCCCTGCTTTGAAAACATGAAATCTCATGTGAGGAAGGAGAGGAGGACTAAGCTACAATCCTACCTGCCTTTCACCAACAGGAAGCAATTTTACTCTTCTGGGGTACCCTATCTTCTCACGTCTGCCTGAACAGAAGAGCGATGTTGTCCCTCTTATTTAGTATTTTTTGTTTTGTTTTTTTAAATCCTCACAATTGGGCATGGCACAGAACAACCATGCAATAAGCATTTGTTGGATAACAGAATGAATTAATGAATAAATTGTAACAATCTTCCAAGGCTTCTTGAATTGTCTGACTCCAGATTCACAGAGGCAGGGGAAGTGCTAAGAGAAAGCAACTCATATTTATGAAGGGCTCCTATCTGCTTGACATCTTATGTGTGTCATTTCAGTTAACTCTGGCAAACAAATGGGCATCACAGATATTTTTTCTATTTTTCAAATGATGAAACTGAGGCTCATAGAGGCTATGTAACCTGCTAGAGGTCACACAAGTAGCAAGTGGCAGAGCTAAGATTTGAATCCTAGAAAATATCACCACACTCACACAACCTCTTTCTAGAGTTCTCTCTAACAAAGTATTCTCAGGTCACTCCCATCTTACCTCATCTGGGTCAGAAAGCTTGAATTCCCAGCCATCTCCTGTCCAGCTGATAAAAGACTGACAGGATTTATCAGTGAGTAATTCCAGAAGAAACTGCCACAGCTGGATTGGTCCACTGCCTGGAAACAAAAGGCATTGTAAATCATTACACCAGATGCTCAGCATTCGGGGCAGCTAATCCCAAGATACAGTACTCCCTCCTTCCCTCTCAGTCCATCTAGCCAGGAGACAAGGAAAGCAACATAGAGTACAAGTATTGGAGGAGGTGCTATGAGCTCAAGCAGACTGAAAAGGTGAAGAAGTTCCTACACACACACACACAAAAAAAAAGCACTTCAGACAATATATCAAATTGCCTAATGTTGATTGGCTTAAGGTTCGGTCTACTTTTCTTGCTAAGCAAACTCCAGAAAGAATATACTGACTCTTTCCTCTGAATTATTCTAAGGTAGCATAATCTTTTGTGCCTTCAAAAACGAAGTCATTTTGCCTTAAGAAGTAATAAAGGTATTAACTAAGGAATGTCTTTGCCAGTTCTAATCAGAAGTCAAACTTCATAAGCACTCCTCTATATAGAGAGACTTGGGCCTCTGCTTTGCAAGTGAAAAGATCACTGTCCTAGGCTTATAAAATTAGCTGGGTCATTAATATTCCTCTCCCGTCCTCCTAAGACACTTATAGGCAAGCACCCAAACTAGGAAAGGAAAGCATCATGACTTGCCACCCAGGAAATCTTCAGAGGTCAGGTAAGGACTGTCTCAAATTCTTCATGGATTCAGTATATGCAAATTCACACACACACACACACACACACACACACACACACACACACACACACACTATTTTCTTCTCTTAGCCATCAACATTGCCAAGATCTTAGTTCTGGGAGGCCTGGCATACTCTGATAGTCAAGTTATCTTATGCTAACAGATTCACGCTACACAGGTTTTCCTTTCTACTCAGAAATGACAATTCTGCCAGTGATTCCTATCTGACTTATGGGTGTAGCCAGAGAGACAAATATGGGTTCAACAGTCCACGCTGTTTGTTGCATGCCTGCGCTGTGCCTTATAACACCATCTCAGAAGCCATCTGGACAGAGCAGGACTGGGAAAGATGCCGTCCATGTAGATGAAGGGGAGCCTTGGATATGCTAACGCATACAGGAAAATTTGCCTTTTTAAGCCTCTAATCATTAACCTGAGTTTCAAATTTGTCTGATTCAAAGTAAATTGAGATTCAACAGGAAATGAGCTTTAGGTTGGTTCCCTCTCAATCTGAAAATGAAGTATCCTCTACAATCTATCAGGGTAATCTCTTGTTCTATCTTATACTTCTACCAGGCATGTATACATATATCATATTGCTTACTCCTAAAATCCACTGCCCATTCCTCTATAGATAAAGCACAACAGTCTCACTGTCTCCATCCTATTGGTGTGAGAAAAGGTGCTCAGAAAAGTCATGTGACTTTGCTCCAGGACACAGTTAGAAAATGGTGGTTCTGCGTCTAGTATCCAGGTCTTCAGACTCCAAGCACAGGGCAACCTCAAAAGACACCTATGAGGAAATAGTGACTGGTGTGCATTGTCATCTGACAGCCAAGGAAGCGTTCCTTCAGTAACTGCTTCCTAGTGGTGGTTTCCAGCGCTCTTCCTCTGCACAACCCAAGCTAAATATGGAAAATGAAATATTGCTACCTCATCCTTCTAAGAATGCACCCTGAGCTCTTTAAAACCATCTTGCAAGAAATACCCTACACACGCTCTAGAATAAAATAATTCAACGAATGCCTGCAAAACAAATTAACACTTGCAAAACAGCCCTGAGAGCAACATTGGTTAAGCCTTATCCTCCTCTGTTCCCGCTCCTCCCCCCCATTAAAAAACCACTGGGTGTTTAGACACATCTGCAGGTTTCTTATAAGTTGAGTTAAAGTCACTAGCTACTACTCCCTGCCTGGGATCATGGGACTAAGCAAGACATTATATATGGGGACTCCATTGAGAAGCCACCCTGATGGGTAGAAGGAATAAGAAAACAAATCTCTATTAAGAAATGCTATGGAATTTCTGGTGGCAAAAGAAATAAAAAAAAAAGAAAAAGCAGCTGCAAGATCCCTTGTGACATAATAGATTTCCTGATGAAGTGCAAAATTACTGTACACCCAACAGGACCCCTGAGGAGTGACGCACAGAGAAAAATCAACTACCCCAAAATTATGTAAATGAACCCTGGAGTTGTGGTTCTCTTTTGAGTCAGGTTCACAGGCTGCAGACATAAGACAGAGAGGAGTTGCTTTAAGATCTCTGGCAGAGCAACATGCTCATGAGTGCTATGATTTATTGCACACCTACTATGCGCTAGACCCTGTGTTGATGCGCACACACTTCTCGTTTATTCCTCACAGTAACTCCATGGAGCAGATGTTATTTGCTCTTACCATTTCACAGCAGAGAACACTGGGAAGTGTACCACTGTCTGGTGCCCACTGGCCTTGGCCAAGGCCATTCCTATCAGAAGTGGAGTGTTTGTGACCAGATGGAAGTCAGGCAGCCTGACTCCCAATTTTTCAGCTCAATACTATATTGCCCCTAGACAAGACCAACCAGGAGTCTGGCATCTGAAGTGCCTGCCTGGTCACACTAATCCAAGGGATGAAAGGACCTGGCTTTTAAAAAAACATCTCCTCTTCATCACCTCTCCCAACAACCGCAGGACACTGGATGGCCAGAGGTGCTCCCAACCCTTTGACAGCTAGTGCCCTAGGTGTTCATCCGCACAGGTGACAATTCCAGCTCAATTAGTCAAGTGCCCTTTTAGTGGCTGTCAGGCTATGCCACTTCACTATTTCATTATTTCTCCCTCCCACTATTTTCCTTAAAACCTCTCTTATACTATTTATTTTAAAATCCCTTTGGGGGATAGGGGGCTCATGGTGCCATGTGGAGGCAAGGAAAAGAAAGATCAGGCTTCTACCCGGCAAGTCCCAGAGAGGAGGACCCAGGAGCACACACACCACCGTCTCTTGCCCTGGAGACCGGGCAGTCATACTTTAAAGAAGGGGACTTCAGTTCACGTCACTGAAACCAGCTCATAGAGGAAGGGGTCTCAGACAGAGTGATCGTTGTTTTTCCTGCCAGTGCCATTTTCCGAATTGAAATGTCCACGTCACGGGCTCCATCTGCCCTGCGCCAGCCTTTCTCTGTATATCTGACTCCTGAGGTCTGCGTATATGGTCGGAGGGCAGGGTGAGTCCCTGTCTGCAGGGGTTTCTTTTTTTTTTTGTCTTCTCATTGTGAGTTTACCTTTGTTCATAAAGAACATCACCCTGTGCAAATCGACAGCCGGGATCCCAGGCCCTAGAATACGGTGCTCTCTAACTCTTTTCTTTCAAAGCGAAGAGGGAGCCTAAATAGGAAAAGCAGATGCCTAAAGAAAGCACAGGTACTAGATGGGAAGGAACATCTCTGGTCAACGTCACAATAGGAAAGTCAAAACAGTGGTGATGTCAGCTCAAGTCTCCTTCCCCCAATTCTTGAAGAAAAATCCTGTGGTCCCACCCAGAGCTAAGAGGCACACAGCGCTCTGTTCTCAACCTGGGTTTTCTGAAAGGCGCCGTTTACCCTTGAGAAAGCCCATGTGCTTATACCAAATGAAAGGACTCTATGATTCCTCCAGGAGGGTCCTCCTAGGACCTTGGTGCTGACTCCTAAACTGCCTGTTGGTTGTGGGGAACAACAGAAACAGGAAGGACCTAGAATTCTTCTCACAGCAAGAATTCTGGTTCCAGGATGGGCTCCTTCCCTGGCTGGACTAGTGAAGCGTCTAACAGAGGAACCTGTTTCCACAACAATGTGTCACCCTCACGTCAGGTCTGGGAGAGGGATTCAGGGCCCCCTTGAAGCCCACAGCTTGGAGGTAGCTCTGGGGCGGGAATGCACTCTAATTACGTAGATCTACCAGCCACATCCAAGCCTAAGCCCATGGGAACATCATATGCCCCAGATTTCTAGAACACTGGACGAGGCTAGCATTCCCAGTTGGGGGAGAGGCTGTATTGCTCAGTGTAGGTCTGCCCCAATCCCCAGGGCTCCAAGGCTCCATCTCTTTCCCTTGCTCATATCCCAAAGTTATAAACAGATCCTAACGTTGGAAAGCCTTTTCCTCCATTCTCCCTGCACCTCCTCTCACGCCTGGGCCCAATCCCTTCCACCCACCCAACCGGACTGTGGTCACAGTGACCTTTGTCCCAGGGAGCAGAGAATGGTACTAAGAATAGTGCCAGTCATGGGAAAGGGGAGCTCACATACTAAATGTGACTCACAATGGTGTCCCTGTCTGGGGGCCCCAAGGCAGTCAACGGCGGCCTTCACCATGCTGCCCTGGGGTGTCACACATCAGGAATCCGGTGGCATCACTGGGAAACTATGCTTCTCAAGTCGAAGCTCTGAGCCACAGCAACAGAGGGGTCCCTGTTAGAATGAAGTCTCTCTCCCAAGAAGAGGTGGGGGAGGGTACCACACACATTCACACCCACCCAGCTCTCTGGGCCTCCACACCCCTGCAGTCAGCTGCCCCCACCTCCCTCACTGGCTGTGTAGCAAGGGGATTTCCTCTGACTGCTTTGTTCTTCTCAGCTTCTGGGTAAGAGGAAAATTCTTGGTATAACACTGACGATCCTGATTTGAAGAACTTGATACAACTTCAGAAGGAGAACTATCAGGTGGGTACCTGGAGGGCCAGCAGAGTAAATTTCATGAGTATTTTTCCCCCCAGAGGGGACACTCAAGGCACTTCAAATCCAAGGCTACAATCTCTCTCTTTTTTCTTTCAAGGCAAAGCTTCAAGGAAATTCCTACCCATTTTGGTTTTGTTTCAAGTCCCTTCCCCTTGTCTAGTAACTGGAAGGTCTGCCAATCTATCTCGATGAGGGTTGGTTACTAAAAATCCCCTGCTTTTTTGCTTCCTTATTATGAGTTTAACAAGTGGGCAACTTAAACATGTATATAGCAACAGGCTAGGACAAAATTTTAGTAAGGTGCTCTCTTGATAATAATCCTTTGTGGCAATTTGTCAGTACCTTTCCTCTCATTTTCTAGGTGCGGGGCTTGCCTGC